CAGAAGTAACAAACTACTGTTCTTTAAATTACTGAGTTTTGAGATAGCTAATTATATAACAAAAGCTAACATGGCTCAACCACTGTCACCAAGTGGGGCAGCCTGGGGCACCCAGGAAACCCTGGCCTTAGGCTTGGCTCTCTTACAGAGCTTTTATGGTGACAGCCACTGGGTCACAAAGTGTGTTGCTGCCCACTGTGGAGCACCCAAGTGCTGGGGCAGAAGTTATTCTTGCTGAGGCAAATAAGGAGCATGGGGGGGACCCAGCTCCTTCCTGATTTGTACAGAAGTCCCTCTTGCTCCCTGCTCAATGGGGAAGAAAATACACGCAACTGAAACAACTGGGAAGTTACAGATGGGGATGAAACTGACAGCATGCTGAGATAAACCACCATGCCATGTAACAGTATAAACATTATTAAACCAAACCCAGGGGGGCCAGGCCTGATGGAAAAGAAATGAGGTTATCTTGTTGAGGTTAAAAATGGGGATGCTTTCATTCCACTCCAGCGTTCTTCCCAACTCTGCGTCTCTTCCATGCATCGTGCATGTGTACATGTGCAGTGTATGTGTGTGTGTGTGTGTGTGTTGCTGTGGACAGAACCAGGGCCTTGCTTAAGGTGGTTAAGTGCTCAACCACTGAGCTACATCTCAACTCTCCACCTACTTTTCCTTTTTCTTTTTTCTTTGTATTGAGAATCAAACCCAGGGATGCTCCACTACTGAGCTATATCCTCAACCCCTTTATTTTTTGAGACAAGGTTTGGTTTTTTTTTTGTACTGGGGATTGAACTCAGGACCTTGTGCTTGCTAGGCAGCTGCTTAAGCCACTGAGCTATCCTCCTGGCCAAGGCAAAGTCTTGATAAAGTGCCCAGGTGGGACTACAGTTTGTGATCCTCCTGCCTCACCTTCCTGGTGCTGGGATTATGGACCTGCAACACCACACTTGGCCTGGCTCAAATCTTTACCTTCTGAGTTCAGATCTAAGGGATACCAAGACCAGTAAGACCACTCTGAAAGAATTTCATGTAAACAAACAAACTCCACACTATGAATCATAGCAGGAAACAACAGTAGCCTGTGGGTCAGACCATGAAGCAACAGGTTTTCATCTGTTTGTTTGAATACTCAAGAATACACACATACAAATGAACATTTATCTGTAAGAACTTTTGTTTTCAGAAGCAATCCTTTTTTCAATATTGCTATTCCTTCCTAAACTCATTTTCTAGCATATCAGAAATAGGTCCATAGGAGAAACTGCTTCACTTTGCATCAGTAAATGGACATGATATCACTGTTTTTTGTTTTTGAGACAGGATAGAGCTATATAGCTCACGCTGGCCTTGAACTCACGATATAGTCCAGGCTGGTCTCCAACTCTTGGTGACTTGGTGATCCTCCTGCTTCAGCCTTGGATTTGAGGTCTATCATTCTATCATGCCTGGTTCATGGACACAGCAATGATATATATATTTTACCAAATTTGGTAATGGGTGACCTTTTTGCTATTACAAGGGAAAAAAAAATCAAACCTCAAAAGGCTGTTACAATCTACCTGATGTACTCGCATCATTAGACTGTAACTTCTTACCCAGAGTCCATACAGCCAGGGAAGAGTTCTCCCTTAATTAGCAAACAGTGCTAGGTATGTGCTGGGTGGCCCAGGCCTGTCTTCTCAGCACTAAGGAGGCTCAGGCAGTAGGGATGTCAGTTTAAGACTAGCCCAGGCAAGTTAACAAGTTCAAGTCCAGCCTGGACTACTGCTCCAGCCTTGAAGGTGATGGGATCAGGAGGCACGTGCATGGTGCGCTGCACTTTTTGTTCCCCTGACAGTGCTGTGCAACGAACCCTTCTAGATGAGTGCTCTACCACTGAGCCACTGCAATCCCAGCACTTGGGAAGCTGAGACAGTAAAGTCACTGTGTTTGAGGCCAGCCTGAATTACACAGTGAGACCCTGTCTCAAGGCAAAAAAATTCCTTTCAGCAAAGAAATTCCTTCTTCCAGCTTCATCTTCCTAAGTGTCAAACCCAACTGTAGAAGTCACACTATATTCCAAGTCTAGATTGCACATCTACTTATAATCCCAGAACTCTGGGAGTCTGAGGCAGGAGGGTCAGAAGTTTAAGCCCAACCTGGGCATATTGATTTAGTGAGACCCTGTCTGAAACTACAAAGTGAAGTGGGCTGGAGACACAGTTCAGTGGAAAGGTCCTGGGTTCGATTCTCAGCACCAAACAAAAAAAAAAAAAAAAAAAAAAAAAAAAAAACAAGGCTTGGCATCACTTCAAGGCATCTATTTTAGGCATAGCCCCATCCTCTCAGAGGTCTTCAATGAGGGACACAGCAGTACATATGCTCCAAACACCGAAAGGAAGCTTGGGTCAGAAGAGGGAACATTTGATTTCCACTTGCCTTTTCTTCCAGTCTTTCTAAACTGTCCTCAACACTAACTTCTCTCTGCCATGTGGCCAAGGCCTCAGGGCCCAGCACACCTCCACCTGCCCTGCTGCTTACAGGAGGAGACTGGTCAGCTGCTGGGGTGAGCTTCCAGCACAGACCTCTGCTTTCCGAGGCAAACAAGGTGCCATTAACACCAGCAGCCCTATCTGCACAAATAACCCTGTAATTCCAGAAGCAGTGCAGGGTCTGGAAGCTGGGAACATGCAGACGGTCCGAGGGAGGGGAAAAAGGGTGCTGACCACTCAAAGGTTTTGCCAGAGATTTTCAAGAACCCCTCCTCCCCCCAAAGCCAATATTCACACACATTCCCTTTGGGCCAGGCTTTGGCGGTGCACTCCTGTAATCCCAGCACTGGAAAGACTGAGACAGTAAAGTCACCGTCTTTGAGGCCAGCTTGAATTACACAGTGAGACCCTGTCTTAAAACAAAAAAATTCCTTTTAGCAAATTTCTCTTATTTTCTCTGGTCAGTGGTTCAGCCTGCAAGGGGTTAATGACCATGAGGAGTTAACCGGATGTGGAAGGAAGAGGGAGGGCTCTGACACTGCCAGCTGGAGTGACTTACTCCAAAAGCTCTTCCAGAAGAGCTGACAGCTCCTGGAAGCAAGCCAGGTAGCCATTCTGTCAAAACCTTGGCTCACCAGACTCTGGACACCAAATCCAACTTCAAGAATTAAGTTTACCCAGATACAATCATCACATTTTTTGTTTGTTTTGGTAGTACTGGGTATTGAACCCAGGGTCTCTGCACTGAGCCATATCCTCAGCCCTTTTTTATTTATTTCTTATTGCATCTTTTCTTTTTCTTTTTTTTTTCTTTTGGCAGAACCGGGGATTGAAATCAGGCCCTTGCACTTGCCAGGCAAGCGCTTATTCTGAGCTATCTTCCCGACCCCTTTATTATTTTTATTCTGAGATAGTCTTGCTACATGGCTAAGTTGTCCAGGCTGGGACTCAAAGTTGCTATCCTCCTGACTCAGCCTCCCCAGAGTGCTGGTATTATAGGTGTGTACCACTATTCTCTGCACAATCATTACTTTTCACCAGATGCCAGAGATCTGGAAAGGCAAGGAAAGTTATATTACTGAGTGTGGTTAGAAATGCAAGAATTTTAAATGGGGTCCCCAGGTAATTCCCAGACTAACTCTAGACTCCAGGACTCAGGACATTTGCAAAGTGTGTCAGGTATGCCCATTTCTCAACAGGTCAGCTCCCTGCCCTGGCAAAAGTGGGGCCAGTGGGCTCTGGAGGAGTCCCCATCTTGGGGAGCTGGGGTGGACCAGATCTGGGCAGGAGCAGCTGGGTTGCCTGTGGCTATGTATGGTGCCGCGCTTGTACTAAGAAACATTCAACATAGGCTGGAATTGAGCTCCTAGCTCTGCCAAAGACGCCTCATCTCCCTAACCCACCAAACACCTTCGAAAGGAAGGGGGTTTGCTGTGGGCTGCTAGGTTCCCCACCTCCCAGGCCTTATCGAGCGAGCATCTATACGGAGCTGCCTACACTGGTAGCCTGGTGATGGCTACACATTCGACACAATCCTGCTCCCAATAACAAAGGGGCCAAAGGGTGGGAACTACCTGAGCCTTTTAGGGTCACCTCCCTGCCCAACTTCAATAGCTGCTCTACAGCTCCACTTGAAAAACGACAGAATTGTCAGAAAAGCTTCCAGTAAATACATCAACGGAGACAAAGAGAACAACATGGGCTATGAAAGGCCGAGCAAGAGGAAAAGAAATCAAATAATGGTTGGCAAGACAGGTCCCTGGAAACTTTTCCTTGGGTCATTTCTAATAAAAGCACCCAGCTGGCACTTCTCTTTCAGTCTGGGAAAGCAGTGTGACAAAATAAAACCGCCACGTGCTCAAGTTTTGGGGCCGGGCGTTGTGCAGACGAGGCACGCGCTTACGAGAATCTCTGAGCTCCCCGACAGCCGTGCGCCTAGGGGGCCGGGCCGCGGGGTGGGGCAGCGAAGGCTGGAGGGGGCGGCGCGCCGCGAGGATTTCATCATGCACACGGGCGCCTCTCCCCCACTCGCGCCGGCTGGGCTTCCTCTTCCTCAGCCACGCCAGAGGGGCCAGCCGGCGCCACCACAGCGGACAGAGGGACGCGATTTGCCACACAGCCCCTCCGCGAGGACCTCACGCGCGTAAACGCGGCACACACCACTAACCTCGTGGCGCGCGGCCGGAGCAGCAGCTCAGTTCCCAGGTTCCCTCCCTTACAAAACCAGGGGTCCCTGAAAGGACCCCGGCAAGGGGCACCTTCTGCCACGGAGACAGCTGGCGGAAGGCAAAACCCCAGGCCTGGCCTGGCCTGCCCTGGACGCGTGGGCCACCCGACCCCATCCTGCCCAGCTCGGCGCGCTCTGTGTGCGCGGGACCACGTCGCGGTACCTCACCGAGCGGTGTGCAGCCCGGGCTCCCGACCGCGCACCCGGCAGGCAAGCAACCGAGCGGTCACCCGCGCCCCTCAAAGCCTCGGCACGCCTCCCGGCCGCTCTTCCCAGCCGCGGCGCACCGGACCCACGCCTACCTCCTGGGGTGGTGCTGAAGAGCGTGCCGCCGGGCGTCGTGCTGTAGTCCCCGGGCGGCAGCTGCACGCCGTCGCCGAGCACCACACGGCGGGTGGCAGGGATGGCCCGGCTCGGGGTCTGACTGCAGCTGCTGCCCCCAGACATGTTCGGACGCCCGCTGCCCGCGCCTCCCGCTAGCCCCGCCCCTTCCGCCCGCGCGGGGACGTGCCCTACGCGCCGCGCCGCCCCCCGAGGCTCGGCCCCCGCGGAGCCCGCCCCGGCCCCGCCCCTCCCGTGCGAGCGGCTCCGCACGCGGGACCCGCTCCGAGCTCGCTGGCCTGGCCGTCCACGCGCGCGACCAGGCGCTGGCGGGGCTGCTGGTCCGCCTGAGGTGAGCCCCCTCCGGCGGGGCTCTCAGCCCTGGAAAGACCCGGTTTCCACGTCGGGATGCCCAGCCGAGGAGACGCCCAGGCCCCCCAGTTCTGTGCATTAGGTACTCGCGTGAGGAGTTGTGTTCTTCCCCTCCGACGACGTGGCCAGCGATGCAGAAACTGCCCAAGAGTGTTGATCCTGACCTCGGAGGCGGGTTAAGGGGTCCTGCCGGCTCCCCGGCGGCCAGAGCGCCGAGGAGCGGGGAGGCTGCGCGGTGCTGGTCGGGGTCCCAGCGCCCCTGAGTCGGTCCTGCGCTGGTGCGTGCAGGGTGCCTGAGTGAGTGACAGTCCTCCACAGGTCTGGGGGAAAGGGACTGCGAGGACAGCACGAGGACACCGATGGTTAGGAAAGTTTACAGCAGGTGACCACATTTTTTCAATGGGAGAGGAGAAAAAAAAATAAAAATTAGGGTCAGTTTTTTAAAAAACTTTATTTGACATAGGATCTCACTAGGCAGTTCAGACTCCTAGTGAATCTCCTGTCCTCGCCTCCCCAGCACGGCATTACAGGTGTGCTACCAAGCCCTGTTTTGGGCAGGGCATATGGTATCAGGGATTGGACCCAGGTCCTTGTGCTTGCCAGGCAGGTGCTTAGACTGCTGAACTATTTCCCCAGTTTGTAGAGTCAGATTGTTGAAAGAACTTTCAGGGCCGGGGAGATAGCTCAGTAGAATAAGTGCTTGCCTGGCAAGTGCCAGGGCTTGAGTTCAATCCCCAGTTCTGCCAAAAAAGAAAAAAAAAAAAAAAAGAAAAAGAAAAAGAGCTTTCAAAAGTAGTTTTTTTATTTTTGGTGCCAGGGAGAGGACCCAGGGCCTGGCACATACTAGGCAGATAATCTCACACTGAGCTATATCCCCAGCCCACTGGGAATATTTTTTTGGTGGTGGTAGTGATGAGAAGCGATTAAGGGACCAGTGATGGAAGTCAGGGCCTTCACCCTGAGTTACTTGCCCAGCGTTTTTTTATTTTTTATTTTGGGGCTTACCCTAAGCTGGAACTTGCAGTCCTCCTGCCTTGGCCTTCTAGAGTACTAAGATTACAGATATATTTTCGGCTAGAAATAAAGCTCAATGGTAGAGTGCTTGCTTAGCATGGGCCTAGGTTTAATCACCAGCACAACACAATATTTACGTTGGATAGCACTGCTCTGTGAGTGGAGTGTGTGAAAACAATTCTAAAACTCTCAGACCCTTCTTCCCTACTAGGGCTCGCCCAGGTCTGTTGTGGGTCACTCAGAATAGGAACCAGATCAGCCAGATTGGAATTTGGAAAGCCATTTATTACTGAGCTCAGGGCCCCCAGTCTGCTCTCATGCAGGAGAGGACCGAAAGGCAGCTAGCCCAGGAAGCAGGGGGCTTTTAAAACATGAAACCACATTTGTTTGGTAAACAAATTCATTCACACAAAACAATGCTTTCAGGGTCATTGTGACCACTACCCAAACTAAATTTCCTGGGGCTTTGTTTTAGTTTCTGGTTATCTTGCACCTGAGTAAGTACCTGCAGGCAATCTTGCATAGCCCAAGGTTACAAGAAGTTAAATCCCATTCAGTTTCCTTATGAAGCCATCTCTGCAATCTAACTTTGTTTACAGGGATTGGTTAGGTAGGAATTTTATGTAGCAAACAGCAAGTAACAGCCACTATTTACTAAACAACTTAGAACAGTGGTGAGTATACATTTACAATAGAAAGCATAAGATTTACATTTATAATCTAAAACGTGAGTTAACTCATTACAAGGTCCAGGAAAATGATGGAATTATCAGAATTTTGCTCTGGCAAATAAATAAATAGGTTATTCACCCCATTTTATTAACAGATATAAAAACAGCAGATAACCGAAGTCCAGGGAGGCACAGGTTTGGGAAAGAACACAACTGTTAAATATCCAAGACAGGACAAGAATCACCAAGTGGTCCGTCCTTCGGGGAAGTAGTGCGGCACGTCCAGCCCAGCTTGGGTTACATAGCTGTCTCAAAAGAAATCACTAAGTAGATGTATAAATAAAATGGGCAGGAGAGCAGCCTATGGCAGCACATGCTTGCAATCCCAGCAGGCAGGAGGGTGAGACAGAAGGATCAACTCAAGGCTGAGGCCAGCCTGGGCTCCGTAGTGACTCCAAGGCTAATCTGAACTGCATATGGAGACATCTCAAAACAACAACAAAAACCAAAACAAACAGAAGCAGAGGGCTAGGGGCAGAGCAGACTGAGGATCCCTTGGAAGCCCATGAGAAGACTGCACTTCACACAAAGATAGCCACTCCTTCCCAAGGATAACACTTTTCAAGCCAGCTGCCACCTAGAAGATGGGCTACAGTATGATGAGGGTGTGGGTTGCAGGCCTGATGTTACTGAGAAGTGGCTCCATTAGATGTCGTATCTGTCAGAAAAGGGGTAGATTTAAAGATCTCTAAAGACTGAGCAGTAACTTTTTATGACTCTGTGTGTGTGTGTGTGTGTGTGTTGTGTGTGTGTGTGTGTGTGTGTTGTCTTTCTGCTTGTATTGGGTACTGGGTGCTCTACCACTGAGCTACATATCTCTGGGCTTTTTTGAGACAGGGTCTTGCTGGGCACAAATTTTGTGACCCTTTAGTCTCAGGCTTCCAGAGTGCTGGATTACAAGCATGTGCCACATCACCCCACTTGTCTTGGTCTTTCTATTGACCCAGCTCCTTCCCAAACTATCTGAGCCCCCATGAGTAACCATCTTATTAGCATAACAAAGACACACTTATCACTGGGAAGACCCAAGTGTTCTTAGTTAATTTTCTCTCCTTGCTGGGACAAAAATACCTGACACCCAAATTTAAGGAAGGAAAGGTTTATTTAGCTCACAGTTTGTGGAGGTTTTGGCCCATACTCGGGTGGCTTCAAGGCAGAGTGCCACATGGCAGAGAGCAGCAGTTCACAGCAGCAGAGAGCAAAGGGAGGAGCAGCAGCTGAGGCAGCAGAGGCAGAGACACGGAGCAAGCCTCTCTCCCTTGTATTGAGGCTATTGCCCCAGGGCAGGTGTAGCACTCACACCCATGATCCCAGCATTGGATCATGAATTAATCACAAACTCTAGAAGCCCACCCAATGACTGCATAAGGCTTTGTAGGGATAATTAGTAGACACAAACCATAACAAAGACCAATCTGCCCAATCTGTGTTTCCAGTTCCGATCCTACAGGGCAAGGTCCTCTTGCTGACTCACTGGCCCCACACTTTAGAAGTCATCTGTCTGTCAGTCTGTAATCTCTCAGGCTCTACAGCCACAGCTGCAAACCATGTTGTTCCTGCCTGCTCAAGGAGGCTTTAAAAAACCTATTTTGATTTCATTTATCATGATTCCAGTACTTCTAGGGGTCAAAACATAAAATAAATAAAATAATAAAATACAGAGGCTGGGTGTGGAGGCAAATACCTGTAATGTTAACACTCAGGAAGGTGAGGCAGGAAGGTGGAAGATTTGAACCCAGCCTGGGAATTCAGTGTTCATCTCAACAGTTTTGCTCTGCTGGAAAACTGTGGAAACAAAGTACCAAGAGTGGGGGGGCTGGGGAGCTGGCTCAGTGGAATAAGCACTTGCCTGGCAAGCGCAGAGGCCTGAGTTCAATCCCCAGTTCAAAAAAAAAAAAAAAAAAAGGTACCAAGAGTGGGTCCCCAAGAATCTGGTCTTGGGTGCATCAAAGATGTTTGTAGATTGTGTTTGGAGCCATTAAACTACTCAAAATCTTTGAGCCCATGGAGTCTTTACCACTGGGAATCTTCCCTTTTAGAGTCTCTTTTTGTGTGTTAATGAGAGGACAGATGGCTGGGACAGTAGTCTTTAGATGGCTTTGGGACAGGAGCCAGTCACCTGCAGGGCCAAGGTACACTTAGTGGTTGGGATGTCCAACCTCCAGCCTCCAATCTCTGGAGAGAGAAGGGGGTGGGGTGATGGTGAAATTGATCACCAGTGGCCTATGATGCCCTCAGTTGTGCTGGCTGGGCGAGGTGAAGCACATCTGTAACTCCAGCATTTCAGAAGCTGAGACTGTCACAAAAACAAAGCCAAAACAAAACAAAACACAGATCATGTTCATGTAGTGAAGCAGCCATAAGTGCAGGAGACAGCCTCTGAGTAATTGGCTGGGGAGGAGCTGGAGGCTGAGTTGGGAAGGGCCTCTGGTGAGGGAGGGGCTGAGGTAGCCTAGGAACCCAGCCCTGGGCTGGAATGTGTGTGTGTTGCCATAGATTATCCCAGTACCCCACTAGCCGTGCCCTGTGGTCCTCCATGTTGGTGCAAAAAGGGGCCCTGGATTTCTGGGCACTGAGAGTCATCCTGCTTCCAGGATTCAGGTACCTTGGTGTCCCCCGGTGTGGTCAAGAAGCTACTGGACTGTCAGGCTTCCCAACTGCTGCTACCCACCCCCCAACACGTCTGGAACTTTATCCTCTTTTGCCTCAATGGTTTGCTAGTGCCCCAAGAAGTTGGTTTCAGGAATGGACTCTAAAGGCAATGTCAGATTTCTTGAATAAAGAAGATAGGATTGTGCAGCAGCAGAATTTCAGACTTCTAAGGGACTGTCCTCTGGTGTAATACTTTAACTCATTGGAAAATAAAGGGGAAGTAGTCACTCTTATTCACATCTAAGCTCTTAGGACTAGGTCCATTGATTTATATTTAAAACCTTTTCCAGTGCTTGTTTCGGCAGCACATATACTAAAATTGAAACGATACAGAGAAGATTAGCATGGCCCCTGCGCAAGGATGACACGCAAATTCGTGAAGCGTTCCATATTTTTTAATACGATGAG